TTTGTCGAGGTTATGTCATTTGCTGTATCATGAAGAGCTCTCTTATTCCAGTCTGCTCCACAAAAATAAGCAGCTGCAATCAAACATGGACTATGGCGCAATCGCAGTATGTACACGTATTATCACATAACCGCTATCTTTTCACATATATTAACAGAATAACACATAGAGTCCGCTATCGTGGCCCTTTGTGCTTTGACCTTAGGGAATGTGACGAAGAAGCCTTAGCTGGGAAATCTGTATCATCCCTCCGCTCGAAATATATCGAACGCATCTTTCCACGAAAAGCTTCCTCCTCGACATTTGAAAAAACTGGCGCCGTAAGGTTAACTGCTAGCCCGCCAGTGTACGCAATGGCACACAGCCGCGATCTGTACGACAAGAATTGGCTCCGCCGTACTGCCACCTCAGCAGAGAGGCGAACTCTTAGTTACACAAATAACAGACAATGATATGGCAGTAGGATACACAAAACATGATACAGTTTCATAAGTGTAACAACGATATGAACCTCTATGAATCATGCATCCTGTGAGTTCTTCTGTGTGGAACCAATAAGCGCGTTAACCAGCCAACAGAGAACGTTTCATTCACCTAACGTTCGGCGTTCGCAGACTGGAAAAGTCAAAGATCAGTGTGAACTACTCCCGAAATTATTTTAAACTTAAGAGCAGCTCGTCTTGAACTAGAGGCGTCCAGAAACATGCCCTGGAATGGAATCACAGTATGACCCATCTTGAATACACGGCAGGTTGTGGTTCAACCACCGCTAGACTGACCACCCGTGTGGGGGCTTTGCATATGCGCTAAAAGTCCCAAAAGGCTACAGCAAAACAATGCGCGCCATCGTATGCACGGCAGGTTTCGGTTCAAACCACCCCTGAACTGGCTCCCCGTTGGTGACTTCAGCCAACCCACTTCTCGACTCAAAGCCGGTGGCAGTTGGAGCCCACACAGGTCAGGGAGGGGGGTCTCGGGGCGATCTCCTCATGATGGCGAGGCATTCTTTCTGTTCCTTTTGGGACTTTTAGCGCATATGCAAAGCCCCCACACGGGTGGTCAGTCTAGCGGTGGTTGAACCACAACCTGCCGTGTATTCAAGATGGGTCATACTGTGATTCCATTCCAGGGCATGTTTCTGGACGCCTCTAGTTCAAGACGAGCTGCTCTTAAGTTTAAAATAATTCGGGAGTAGTTCACACTGATCTTTGACTTTTCCAGTCTGCGAACGCCGAACGTTAGGTGAATGAAACGTTCTTTTGTCTTGGTTACGGCTATGGCTTCCACCAGAGAAGACCTCACAGGATGCCAAGATTCCTAGAGGTTCTATCGTGTACACTTATGAAACTGGTATCATGTTGTTGTGTATCCTACTGCTCATATCATTGCCCGTTATGTTGACAAGAGTTCGCCCTCTCTCTGAGGTGCATAGCGCCCCATCGTGTTCATTGGTGTTAATTTGATTCTATTCCTCGACGGGGTGTTTCCCACATTTGTCGTTGTTTTATTTCCGTTACGTTTCAGGCCATTTCCATCCATTCAACACTCGTTCGTTGTCATCATCATTATCACTAAATAAATGTTATCGAAAGTATACGAGTCTCCAATAAAGGTGTGCTTCTTCCAATGATTTCCGGTTTCCAAAGTCCCAGACGAGGTTTTTCAGTTTTTCAGCTAACCGATGGCGATAGCAGCGCCTTCACGGCAAGGTGCCAACTTGTGTACTAATCAAGCGAGCCTTATTAAAATTGCACTGATATGTTTGGTTATTTCTTCAGCTGTACAGGTTTGCAGTACCATCTTGTTGACACTTTCAAGCTTTCGAAATCTTTTTTTCGGCGTCATTCAATCTATTCATCTCATATCGCTGTCTCTGTTGATCACTGGATTTCCCAAGCGAGCGCCAGCAGCCCCATTTCCATTCGTTACACTCCACTACGAGGCCGCTTCCACATCTTGAACTGATTAAAATGGATCTGTGGCTACATAGCTATTCTTTTCTCGGGCCATATCTATTTTCTAATTTCTGATTACGTGATTCTCCGATTTTCCATCCTCAAGAAATACACGTATACGTACCTTTTCCCATTTCCACGATTTCCCGATTCGCCGGTGTAGCCCTTAATGCTGAAAAATCCCAATTTATTCGAAGAATTCCTATCCACAAAGCTGATTTGTTCCCCTGGCATTAGTCAGTATGCTGCGAATATCCCCTGATGGCGCCAACCCCATGATGTTTTTCACCAAAATCGAGGCAAACTCGCTCTGCTGGGTAAAAAAGGTCCTAAGTCATCAAACTGGCCTTCCTTTCCAAACTCGCGCCAATATTTAATACCGCATCCGGGATTAGGATCGTCGACCAACTCCCAAACGGTAAGGTAATGTTGGCGTCGCGTTCTTAACTTCAGATATGTTCCGAAGTTTTGCTGCATATATACACATTATATTTTGTGAGGAACTACGAGTTCTTGTAACCATTCGTTATTACCTTCTCGCTTTCAGTTATTATTACCAGTTATCAATGAGTATGGAAAGTGGTTGTTCTTCTTCGGCCATAATTATGTTAGATGTGTGTTACTTACGAGTTGTAATGGAACGAATTCGCGAGAGTTATCGCTTCCTGCAAATAATGATCCTATATTTTTCCCGGAAATTTTTCCGGTCGAAACCTGGACGGTGATTATTTAACTTTATCCACTTGCCTTCTTCTTCAGTTTCAGACTTTGCGATGACGCGCTGCGATGCGCTGTAACGTTCGTCGACGCGCTACATTGCAACAGCGGTCCAGTCGCAAAAACGCGAACGCAGCCGCAGACGGCAATCGATCGGCGCCGCCCACTTGTGTAATCAGAGAGTATGGGGTAACAGGAGGGTACGCGTCGCCCGAATCACGCCGTCTGGTATCGATCGGCATTGACCACTAGGGCTTTGGGAGAGTAGAAGAATGAGGGAGTACCAGATTGTGTGAAGGCAGCGCTTCCCCTCCTGTTATCTTATACTCTTTCAGAACACAAGCGGAGCGTCGGTCGATTTCCGTCGACGTCTATAGAAGTTGGAGCACCGTTAGAACCGTAGCGCGTCGACGCGCGTCATCGCGACGTCTGAAGCTGCCTTAATAGTTAGTATTGCTGCTTTTAGGGAGCGAAGCCAGTGGCTGTCATCCGAGCGATTTCTGAGGATGAACTCCCGGACCATGCTCGAGAGCAAGAAGCTTTAGTTGCTCTTTCTGCAGCTCAGTCGAGTAGGCAGTCTGGAAATATCAAACGTGTAAGTTGCCATTCACATCACGGCGTACAAAAAATCCTGTCGGGTTTATGAAGTGGAAAGAGTTCGAATTTTCGCTAGTCGCTGACAGGCGTTAAACTCCATTCCTTTGCACTTAAAGACAGCTCCCGCGATAAAAGTGTCATGGATAGTTGCTTTTCAATTATGAAACAGTAGCTGATAAGTAATTCCCCAAAGAAGAAAAAAGCAAGAAGAGTCCTCAAGAACACCACAAACAAAATTGCTCCCTGACAGTCACACCGCGCTGTGCAACCCCTGGCTCACAAATCCCTTTATCACATCTCCCAGTAGTGGATATCATCCAATGCAAAGAAAAGAATACGAAAAACAACAAAAACACGGAAGAAAAACTCTTGAAAAGGAAAAGAAACTTTCAAAAACTCGGCGTCCGAATTTAGGGTTACGGTAGCGTGCATCTTTTAGTGTAGTGTAGTGCGTCGAGCTTTTGCACCACGAAAATTGGGTCGCTCGTGATTTCTACGCGTTTTACCTTGCGAGATGGGTTGGAGTTGACTGTATGTGCTCCTGAATAAAATGTAATGAAGGAGAGCAGAATCATTCATTGGCACGAGCGCGGTCAGCAAAAAGGACATGCAATTCCGATTAATGCCCGCCGCCCCAACAAAGAACAACTGAGCGGCCCTCCGTCAGAGGGCATCTAGCAAGTGGGCGGTCCAACTGAGCGGGCGTTAGAACTAGAACTTTCAGCGGCTGTAGCTCGCTCCTCGCTCGCTGTGGAGTCGCGAGAGTGGGACAGTCTCTAGCTTGGGGGCTGTACTACTTGCACAAGGAAGGACGACCATGTACTACTCGAGCGCGGGGGCTGTCTTTATCGCGGTCCATGCATGACTCAAAACGACCATAGTTTGAAGAGAAATAGTGTAACTTTTGCTCGTCCCAACAAGAAAAGCGCAGTACTGAGCATGCCCTGGAAGTCGGATCCGCTTCATTTCATACTTAATCATTTTGAAAGAGAGAGGGAGTTTCTCCTGCCCAGCCAGTTCAAGTTTTTTTTTCTTAACCTGTTGCCCGATATACTCTGGACTTATCGTTCTTTACGTTGTTGCATTTTCTTCCTTCTTCTTTATTTTTCTTTTCCATCCGCTCGTCATTCCTCCTGGGTAAGTGGCATGCACACAGTCTTGTTCGTTGCTAATGAGGGAGCATGGGCAGCGGGAAGGGTTTGGCGCAGAGCCCAGGTTTTTTCCGTCATTGAAGTGAGTGAGCGACAAGAGGTATCACATGGTTTGCGTAGCTCCTTTCCCAGCAATTGTTCGCTTGCTCACTTGATGAAAAACGGGTTTGACGCCGCGCCAAACCCATAACTCTTGATACGCCCATATTCTGCAGCGAGCAATGCTGTAAATGTCTTTTTGAGTAGCAGGACCGAGACTATGCACACCGTATCTTCATTGATATGGAGTTTCCTATAGGGCTGTTACCTCCGTCATAGATGATAAATTGGCTATGTTACAAAGCACAGATCCTGTGCATAAGCTTCTTTTCTGTTGCCCAACTCAACCACCTTGATGAGTACATTTCAGGCTAAAATGATAATTGAACATGCTGTAGCTCTCGCTCCGAATCATCCTGATGTCCTCACAGAATATGGACTCTTTCATGAAGTATGATTTTCACAACAGGTTTAATAACCTTCATTATCCTGTTCATATCTATTTTTAGTTGATGGAAGATGACGTGCTTGAAGCTGATCAATGCTATGCAAAAGCTTTGGCTTACGATCCGCACCACTCCTGAAGCTCTTGTGTGAGTACATGTTGATTTGTTCATTTTGCTCGGGACAGACACCAGGATAATGGCATTGCGCCCCGACCGACTTTCGAAGGCAGTTGGCACGAATCCTTAAGACGAGTGGGATTGATGCGCCTGACAGGACAGAATTCCGCGGCCCTGAGCAGGTGCTGCGTAGCGCCTTTTCCGAAGAAGGTACCCTTATAAGGCCTTATCAAGCTGCAACATACCGAACACCCACCGCGCCTGCCCGCCCACAAATGGACGACCGTTGCCAGGTAAAATATGAAGTGAAGGGATTGGTATGAAGCGGCTGCAGTGCTGCATGGATTATCAGTACACCAGTCGGATCGCCCGGCTAACGCCGAGCTCTCCTCCTTCTTGGAAGATGCCCACGACGAAGTCGTCCGAAATAGCCCTTTCAGAGCGAAAACTTTTCTTCGCAATTTTCAACCATTATACTTCGTCTTTTCGTCATTTTCCACTGTGGCGCTCTGCTAGCATATTGGGCCGAGTACCAAATTATCTTGCCAACTGCCTTTAAGGTAGGATATGTATTGGGCAGGAAGCGCGTCACGCCGTTCATTTGTGCTTTTAAGCTCCTCTGTCTGAGCTTCTTTATTTTGCTTTTATTAGAATTGCGTTTGCGGCTACTTTGTCTACCAGATTTGGTATCATTTGCGAGGTCGAGACCCATCACCGAATTGCTTGGATCAAGTCCAAGCCTCACTGAGAGGCAGCGCTTCTCAGCCTGTGCTTCGCCTCTGCCGAACAGTTTCTGTGACTTCAGCCTACTGATCAAATCAAACAAGAGTGGTGTCCAAAATGTTCATTTTTGTTACTCTGGTTCTTCATCTTAGTCGTCCTAAAGTGACGGAAAACGAGATTTCCTCGTAAAACTAAGCATTATTTATTGGGCACGGAATTTTCTACCATGCAGTAAGAATTTTTCGGCAGCATAATCAGTCTCCGCACGACTTTAAGATGGAAAAAAAACGCTTTCATGGACTAGCCAAATATTTTTGACTGAAGACATTTTTTTTAGTCGAAGGAAAACGCACGTTGCCATTGGTCAGCGCAATGGATGCGAAATTGCTACGACGCATTGAAGCGAAGCGCGATCAGTTTGCACGTCTTCCACATACGTCATCGTTGAAGAGAGCTATGCGCGAGAGTTACTTCCTTCATATCTATCACACTGTTGCAATAGAAGGAAACACACTGTCGCTTGGACAAACGCGGTGCGTATTTGAACTTTTTTTGTGGAAGTTTCGATGAAAAATAAATTTTAGATTGATGTAAACCCTGGAAGAATCGTGGAATATAATCATTTAGGTCCATACTGGAATCTGGCATTGCTGTAGCTGGGAAGAGCATACATGAACATAATGAAGTGATTGGTATGGATGCCGCGCTCAGATACTTGAACCACTCTCTCCTTCACAGTAATGAAATTAGTTTGGATGTATGTTTTTTCAAAGTGATAATCTTTTTTGGAAGTTGGAAAGTTTTATGTGTTGGCCTCATTTTGCATCTTTATACTTTCAACGTTCAGGACATATTAGAGATGCACAGAAGAGTGCTTGGATATGCTAATCCGATTGATGCTGGACGCATTCGGACGACACAGGTTAGTTTTTTTTGATTTTTTTCATGTGGTTCTTAGAAAGTATTGATTAACTTGGCGAGGAAAAATTATGTTTTACTGGAAAAGATGATAAATATAATGTGGCAAGTGGCACGCTTACCACGCGCTCGGTCCGGGGGTCGAATCCGGATCAACTGCCGCCGAGGCCACTCTTCTACCCTCCGAGGACTTTGAATAGGAACCAGTTTTGCCTGGAAAAATGAGAACCTCGACTTGTCTATTATTTAGCTCCCGTCCCTTGATAAAAGTAGTAGAAGGTTTCTTCGCAATGGCCGAACAGTCACTTTTCCCCTCAACATAAAGCTTACACCAAATGGAGGGCTCAGCGACAGAAATCCGAAAAGCGTTTGAACACTGAATGACTGAGCGAAAATTTTCCGGATATGAAAGCATTGCGCGGCTTTCTCGTGTTTTGGCTATACTTGTATCACAAAACTAACTTTTTCGTCCAGACGTGAGTGGGCCACCTGTTTATGCATTTTTGATCCATAAGATGCAGTTGTGTATTCAAGCTTTCGGGGCAGGGGCTAGGAGCATCGCTTTGAGGCTAATGCCGTTTGGACTCCAGAAATTTCGTCTTCGAGCTCATTTTAAAAGTGGCAAGATCACCAAATCCGCTAAAAACTTGTATATAGGGGTAGTAGGGGTAATTACATCCTGATCACGACTATGACATTAATTT